CCTGTAGAAGCCCCTCTTATTATCCTTAATGTCTCTGGCTAGCCTCAATTCCAACTGTGCCTTAGCCTCCCTGATCATGTCTCTAGCTTCTCTTATAACTTCTTTCTCCCAGTCCATTTGTTCTCCCTCCCACCTCCTAAAGGTGTCTTTCTCCCCCTGCGTTTCCTCAGCACTTCCTTATTCATCCATGGGGCCTTCTGGCATTTTTCCTGACTTCCTCTGTGCCTGAATGCATTGCTCCCGAGCTTGAAGCACATGATCCTTGAGTATCAGCCAGCAGACCTCTGCATTCCAGGACTTCATCCCAAGGGACTCTGCCAAGAAGGTCCTTGAAGAGGCCAAAGTCTGCTCTCCTGAAGTCCAAGGCAGTGAGCTTGCTGTGCACCTTCCTCACTGCCCTGAGGATCTCAAACTCCACCATCTCACGGTCACTAACAGTTAAGGCTGCCTTGGAGCACCACATTCTTCACCAGCTCCTCCCTGTTGATGAGCACAAAGTCCAGCACAGTTCCTTTCCTTGTTGATTTCTCTATCTTCTGTGTAAGGAAGTTATCATTAACACATTTAAAGAGCCTAGGCACTGCCACGTTGCTCTTCCAACAGATATTGGGGTGATTGATGAGGACCATGGCCTGTGAGCTTGAGGCTATTCTCATCTGTCTGTAGAAGGCTTCATCCACAGCCTCCTCCTGATCAGGTGGTCTGTAGCAGACCCCCACTATAACATGCCCTGTCCCAACCCTACCCTTAATTTGTATTAGTTCATTTAATTATTAATATATTTTACTTCAAATTTCAATGTGAGCTCCAGAATAATGTCATCCTCAGGCTTCTAATACCAGACACCTTCAGCAAATCACATGTCCTAAATTACACATAGAAAGTAGTTATATCATTACCTTTTTTCATTTGTTCCTAGTTCAGGGACAATTATATACATTATATTAGCATGGCTTATTCCTTACTGTCTTACATGGCCTGGTACCAACAACAGCCTGACGGTGTATTTACCAGAGATCTGTTTCACCAGTTAGAAAATGATACATATTGCTTTCCCTTCTCTTAACAACAACAAACAAGTATCAACCCAAATTCAGCAAAAAATTTCGTAGTAGCTGAAGAACTGATTAACCAAAGCTACATACACAGAGGACTTTGTATTTCAGAAAATAGCAGAATACTCACGGAGAGATCTGATTCAAATATTTCTTTGGTCTCAGGACCCTTCTTGCCTTTAGCCCCAGCACCTCCTGTGCCTGCAGCTGCAGCTGGTTTGCCTTTCTTTGGTGGGACCCCAGACTAGAAAGGTAATGGACAAGTTAGCCAAGATCAAACACATCTCTAATTCAGATACAAAAGGAACTGCTTTTTTTCTCCACACTTCTATACCCCAATGTCAAAAAACCCCATATCTCTCTGGTACCCTAACAGCTGAAGGCAAAGACCATTTTCAGATAGAGATTATTTAATTTATATGTTCCTTTTAGACTACAGGTTTTATAGAACACAGTCACAGGGACACACAACAATGGAAGATGACAAGGGAAAGAATGCATGTATTTTTGAAGGCTCAGGAAATAATTAATTCCTCTGTATATATTCCCATGGATACTGATTAGATATAGAACTTATGACTGGAGTTTCTTTTCCAGGTTACCAGAGGGATCAATAGATTTCAAAATATATCATCTGTCTCACCTGGAGAAGGAAGTAGGGTATTACAAAGAGCATCTACTGTGCTACTTAGGTCAATTTTAAAAATCCAAAGCATAATCTAAAGAAATACAGGTCAATTGTTCAAACTATTTACAAATAAACAAAAGGGACAAACTACAAGTGACACTGAAAAAACCCAACACTTAAGCAGTAACCTTGCTAGTTATAAGAGATGCTGACTTCAGCCAAGTATCACTATATCACCACAGAGCATATCAACATTATTGTATCTGAGGCTCCTCTGAATGCCTCCACTGGTTTATCACTATTTCAAAATCAAAAGCTGATACTAAGACATGAGTGACAAGACAGTTTGTATCATTATAAACAGAGACTTCATCTAGTACATTCTTGTAGAGCCCCAGATTCTTTTCACTGTTAGGCTCACCTCCTCTTGCAAAAGGACATTAATACCTCAGTGGAGGGAGACATTTAACAGACCACCCCTGATCTTTAGTAACTATCTGATGCAATCATCAACAACTGTTTGTCAGACAATCTCTTACCTTCACAGCAGATGCTTTTTTCAGTGATCCTGGTTTGGTTGCTGCATCTTTTGCTTCTTTATCTCCCCCAGTCCCTGAAATAGCAGGGGTCTTCCCAGCAATAGGCTTGCCTTCTTTTTTCTCAACTCCTCCTCCTGTCTTTTTACCATAAATCAGTTCTACCTTCTCAGCACACTCTTTAATCTGCCAAGCAGTGGGGAGAAAAAAAAAAAAAAAGGGAGGGGAAGGGGAAATATATTTAGCTACCTCAGCTGGATGTACAGTGCTCCTTCACCAGCAGTGGCTCAAACTTGACTACTCTGGAAAAAACATGGAGTTTAAGTTGTTTACTTTACAAAACTTTGTTATCCTGTGTTCCTTACAATAGTAAGGTTAACCAGACAATGGCATCAGCTACCACTGTATTGCCTGAAAAATTTTCCTAGTTGAAAACAAAATGCATTTATACACAAAGAAAGCACTGACATCCTAGTGACACAGATGCTCTAAGGACTAATTCTTAGCACCTTAAATTCTAAAATCTTAATTCAGTCAACACCTGTCAGCTTATGGCAAAGTATAAAAACTTGGTTGTTGGAGATGAAGTCTTTAGTACCAAATCCTATCTAATAATATTGATTTAGACCACATGGTTGTGACCTCAAACCTTGTTTCAGACACAAAGTATTCAAAACACCTCACACACAACCAACCAACAAAGCAGCCCAAACAACACCAGACAAACCTTACAACCCACCTCAAATACCAGTCTTGAAACCACAGATACTTTACATAAGAATGAAGAGGTGCAATGTTAGCATATTAAAGCATTTTATGTGGTAGAACAAAACCAGCTTGATAATCTAGGAAAAACTAAGATATTTACAGATTCCCTGAAAGCACAGTAACATAAGTAAGAAAGAAAAAAATGCACTTAAAAGTCAGTAGGCTAAAACATCCTCTTTAATCTACTCAAGCCTAAGATACACCTTAAATGGATAAATGGAGCCTTTTTTTACATTTATAACAATGAACTCACCCGATCAAGCTTGAGTTTGTCTACATCTGCTAGGAAAGGATTCACAGCTTTCTCTCCAGCCACTTTCAAGGCAGTGCCTAATGCTTCAAATCCAGCATCTCTTACTTCAGGAGCAGAATCATTGATATGCTGCAGGGAAAAACAACTCATGTCATGTGGCTTGTAATACACAGCTAATCATCATCCATATAAATCTTCTCCCCTTTAAAAACCTACTACAAAATAATCTTTCACATTTCACTGCAGAAAGAAAAATGCTGGTTTTCACTTTTGTTTTGCTATGTATGGATCAAGTCTACTGTTTCCCTACCTTTGGACCCTTGACACAAGAAGAGGTCAAACATCAATGCTTTAATAGATCCTGCAACACCAGGAAAGCTCACAAGAAATTCAAAGTTCTGCAACCTTGTTCAAATCTCCATTTTTGAAGCCAGAGATATTTCCCATTACAGGAAAAAGGTTATTTCACAGTAACAAGAAAGTATACATCATTCTCATTTACGCTGATAAATGCTCCAAGTGTCACTGCCATGTATGAATCAACAATGGTTCTTTTCTTTATGGGAAGTGGTATATGGCATTCCAACAAAAACTTGCTAGATACATCTGCAAGAAGCAAGCAGCAGTGTATGGAAGTTTAATAATTGCAAATTGCTGCCTTAATCTATTGCAAGCTTAGTGGGTCTACAGCTTCAGAAAAGCTAAGAGAAAGGCAACGAAATTGTTCTTACGACTAACAGTCACCTTCAAGCTGGACAGCAATCAAAACTGACTCTGTGGCTACCTAGTACACAAGAACTCTTGGATCCCTGCACTACCAGATGGGTCTGCCTCTGAAAACAATCCACTGCTCCACAACAACAGTGCTCAAGTCAATGCCAGAGAAGTACAAGCTCCTCCTGCCTTACCTTGAGAAGTGCAGCACAGAAAGGTTTCAACAGGCTTTTTGGCAAAGTAGAAGGTGTGCAGTGACGAAAGCTTCTTGCAATGAAAAGGGATGTTTGTTGCTTAATTGTTGGGTTTTTGTTGTCCATTACTGCCAAAATGTCTTCACTTATGTTCTGCAATGTGGTCTACAATATTGAATAAAGAAGTCATTAGCTTAAGTAAAGAGAAGAGCACATAAAAATTAGAGACCAATTCTCAGATAATGGGAAAATTTTCACTCTTACTGTTAGAAAGATGGCATCAATAGCTTCCTGCAGTGCCTGCACTACCTGAGGCTTCTTCTCCTTAAATTTCTCCAGGATTGTTGGAACAACCTATGGAAAAGAGAAATGGAAACAAAGAAAAACATCAATCCCCTCTTTGCTAATACAACTGGAAAACCTGACAGTCTTCTCCCTGGCACTTTGCAGAGAAGCTGATAATGCAAACATCATTGCTGTCCCTCTTCAGGGGTACACAACTGCAGTATGAACTAGTTTATTGTAGCTGATCTCCAATATTAAATTCATTCTAGTCACTATTAACAAATATAGATATTTAAACAATTTCATAGCAAAATTTAAAGGCAGACATACAAGTTCACATAATTAGAGATTCATGCTCTGGCTCTACTAGTCTGGAACACAGTGCAACAGAATGGAAATAAACAATTTTACAATGCAAGAGTGCTGTATTCCTCCACTGTAAGAGCCCAAGAAAGCATATAACCTGTCTACTCTTTCC